AAAGACTAAGTCAGACAGAAACTTTGTTCACCAAGCCATAAAAATGGGTAACGACATATGTGGAAAGCTGGAAATGAAAAGGTCAGAAAAATATGCTATAGAGTAACTAGTATAAGGATGCATGCCTATGCATGAGAATTCTCTGATAAAAGGTTCAATGAACTTTAGGACATATAAAACACGAATAAGTTTCAGTTTAGTATCATAAATATTGCATTAGCATAAAGAAATCTTTGCATTTTATTCTCCAAGATCCTTCAATTGAATCGGTACCGCAGTGAATAGTTGTTTTTTTCGTTAGGCCTGCAGCTACCATAAAATCATCGGTACAAGAAATTGAATCACTGCCTCCTTGTCACTCCGCAACCCAAACAAGACCTACCTCTTAGGCCATCTCACCACAAACCTGTCTGATTTTTCCTTTTCCATGAAATCCGGCACTTTTTATATTAGGGTGCCACTTGCTTTAGAATTTTACGAGATTTTTATATGTCTACCAAAGTTATCGTGTTACCACGTAAACGCTAGGTTTTAATTATGCCTGTATAGTCTAAAAACGGCTCCTTTCAGAATTTGTCCATAATGTATTGGTTGAACCTCAATACAAATTTCGGCTGGAGATGAATTGGCATTGCAGGGGTGAGACCCAGTGTGTTGGAACAGCCGTTCACCATGGCAATCACATTGACACTATTCGTTCCTTTATAATGTAGATTGTTTAGACAGAATGTTCAATGTTCCACAAAGGAAATGTTTTGGGATCGATTTGCCATAAGCTCAGAGAGATAGCTTTCTGATAAGTACAGACAGGATTATCTCGGAGTTATAAAAAAGTTTAACATGAAAGTAAGGCCGATTCGCGATGTGTTTTCTCTTAACTCTATCACATTTAAGACGTCTAGTAATGTGATTTCCATTTCGTATCTCGAACACTTAACTAATTATGTTCATTACTGGTGAATGTGCAGACCTAGATTAATTACTTTTAAAAAGAATAACTGAAATTTAAACTGGGTCTATTCTTTCCATCAGCTACGATCAGCAGTTATGATTTTGTCAGAAAGTCCTTCTTGAGAAAACCACAGATTACTAACTGCAGTTTTCCCAATCATTTTTTATTTTGTTCGTAAAATCGCAAAAATTCTAATTTTGTAGTGCATCTCCATTTACTTGAATTTTCAGTTTCAAGCTTGTAATGGATAATCAAATAAAATTTCAGGTTATATGCATGTTTGATGGTCATGGAGTGTCTAGTGTAACCAACGTGCACTTTAACGAATCCAATGATGAACCTAACAAATGAGTGTTTTTTTAGAGGAAGATTTTATCAGAGTTCAGCGTGTGCAACCATCAAAATGATTAGTATCAAACAACACGATACGTTATCACAAGGACTGACTAGAAAACTGCAATTTACAGCTGTATAAAGTGCAAAATTGTACTGATACAACAAGAACCTGTCCATAATGAATTCTCGGAGGAGTCCAACAATTACACTTTGGATGACTGTACTGTCTTTGATGGGATTTTAATATCATTTTATTTGTCTTAAGGAGTAAACTTAAGTGAAATGTTGCTGATTCTTGGGTTACATGTACAGTGGATATTTTACAGATTTCCGGTTCCCTCAGTTTACTTCGGAACCAATCTTAATATCCTCAGATATATTATGGAATAGTTAAACCACACTTATCTGTACTAAAAAACTTAAATTGATTGAGTTATATATTTACAGTTTAGTATTACAGAGAAACAGATATTCCAGCCAATGTTACAGAGAAACAGATATTCCAGCCAACAGCTTTTCAGCTTTGTACAATTTGGTACTGCATGTCTCCCTTGATTTTGAAAGAAAATGTTTAAACATGGTTTATTGGATTCTTAGAGATGTTTAATTATTCAAGGACCTGGCAAACAATTAAACCTATATAAGTACAGGCCTGGTACATGTACTAAGCATGGTTTAGTTTTCTAGAATATCTAAGGATTGCTAGAAATGTACTTTGGAGAAAAATCTTGTTATACTGGCACCATTTGTCCAATAGTGTTTTGGCATTATAAATAGGTTTGGCATTATAAAGAAGTTTGAGGCAGTATATTGAGGGGATAAGTTTTTCAACCCCACCCTTGTTGTCACAGCCCTGGATGTAAACAGTTTGTCTCTTTGAAATATATGACTTTTCACCGATTGATTGATTGATTGATAGGTTTTACGTCGGCTTCACTATATATACCGAGTAGTTCGGTTATCCAGCAGACTGACTTTTCACTCCATGCTCGGTCTTTTATAGACCACCTCAGCTCATTAGCATATTGTTCACCTTTATATCAAGGTTGTTATGCATGGAAACGGATCTGCTTCCTTACCCCCTCAGCCTCAAGCTACACTCCGAGAATCCTACTCATCCGTCACTAAAGCTCAGACGAGGGAGTGATTCTTTTCTGTAGCCTTCCGGCATTCGAGGGTAATTAGAGTAGCATTTCTGTTTCCATGCACAACAACCTCGATAGGGAAAAGAGTCATAACTGTCTAATAAGGAGTTAATTTGTACCAAAAGCACCACAGGTATTATAACGGCCTCTGGTCTCTATATCCAATAATGTATTGTACCATATAGTGTCACTAATCTCCACTGACAAATGGGTAATTGTTTAAAAATGCAACGTTTAGTAAAATCCTGATATACTTCTGCCGTTTATCCAGAAAACTTTGGCGTTATAAAGGGGTTTGACATTAAAAGGGGCTTACGAAGGGTACTCGGGTATTTCTGGCGATAAATAAAAAGGTTAAGAAAAAAGAATAAGGAATCCTTGAAAAATCTTAGCAGTATTGCAAGGTGTCAATTATAAACAGAATGGCATTATATTGATATATTGTCTAATAACAGTACATGCTTCCTTTTGGAGAATTGTTAGTTATAAATATATGTAATGTTCCCTACTGGTACCAAATATATCTGGGATTACCTTTTTCCCCATAAAGTATCAGAAATAATAAATTTCATAAAAACTTCCATCATCACTGCTTCAAAGATTTATGAAATATTGAGTCTCCACATGTTGTGATACGAGATTTAGTATATTTAATGGTTTTCTCATAGAATACCATATATATTTACACTTATATGGCATGATTTACTGATATTTTCAATCTTGCTCACACATGAAAATACCTATGTTCTGTCACACTCGTTATATATATACGGTATTCAACAAGAAACCATTAAATATCCTCTATATTTATACACCTAAATGCAATAATGATATTTCTGAACAAGATGCTTTCTTAGCTGCATATCCAATGCATATGCATATATATATTAAGACCTGCATATCAGAAAAGTATTTAAAATAGGACATTACGAGATTTAATCTTTTGAAATAAATACATACTGTATTCAACCTAATGAAAGACATGGGTGCTTGATTTGAAATATTTTTTTCCAAATAATTTGTTTAAACATATTTAATTGCCATACGAAAGTACAACTAAATGGATTGGGAACAAGTTCAAATAATTGCAATACCTTCCAAAATTATAAGAAAAATGTAATATGAAAAGTTCTTGTTACACATAATCCATACTTACCAACTTGAAGAAATGTTTAGAAATGTAAGAAAAAATGCAACGATGAACTAATTTTTCAAGAAAGTAAGTAAACTGTGATGAGGAATGGGACCTGTAACCTTGGGACCAGAATAAAAGTGTAGGGAATGCTTGTATTGAGGAATGGGGCACTTATTAGGCTTATTACAGCCAGTAATGAGTATGCTCAGAGCCACTTTGCCAATAAAATAAAATAAAATTGATTTTAAATCAGAATTTTGTAATGAGTGTTTAAAAGAAATAGAAAATAATGGTTTAAAAAGAATTAAATTGATGAAATCATACTTGTACATGCAACTGACAAAATTTTCTATTAGTTTCAAATTTAGAAATTCTATTTAATTCTTCGAGAAATATTGGATAATTTAATTGCTGAAATTCTAAAGATTCTTAAACTTTTATAAAAATAACTATCAAGTTTTTCGAAGAATAATTGCAAATTCCTTGCAGGCATTAATTAAAGTGAAAAACTGCTAAAGGTAAAAAAAAAAAAAAAGGAATCAAACTGCATATTCTTAATTAGCAGCTTGCAATATATCATATGTAAGATAAATTGGAATAAAAACAACTTTTTCAGGATATCTTAAGGATTTGGTATCTTATACATCGGAGAGATGACGATTATTTTAGGCCTACCGAGATTATCCGCAAGTCATTTGGCAGGTGGGAGAACTGGTCGCGTGCTGCACCGACCAGCTAATTGATACAAATATTTGTTTAAAAGTGTTACTCTCCTTAAAAGACTCTTAAAGGACACTACAGCATCAGAACCTAAAGCTTGTCAATGGTGTGGTTTTTATGATCTTCTATTAGGGATGGGGAGTACTTTTAAAGTGCAGTTTTGAGGGGCATTAGCATGCCACAGATTCATGCTGTGTTACATAATTGGTAGGAACTGACTTGTGGAAGGGAGAAGTCCTTTTGGGATATAATCTCTGGCCCTTAAACCTGTGACATTTACCATGATCAAATAAGGGCCAGATTAGGGCCATTTGCACCTGAGTGAGCGGTGCTGTCAAACTGGTAGGTCTTGTTTGAGAAGGGGACAATGGGGAGGTGTGTGTGTGTATGTAGGGCAGCTCTGAGTAGGAATCTTAATGAATACTTATTACCTGTTTACAGGTTAGGCTTAGCAAACAATCACAATCTAAGCTGTTAACAGATCATTTTAACGGGGAAACAATCAAAAGAGCACAGGTGACATTTGTTGTTGTTGCTTCTGCGTGGTTCTGAGGACATTTGATTTCCGTCTGTTTACCATTGTGATATCCAACAATGGTGGCAGTGGTGGGATTTTAGCGTGACCATGTTACATCAGTACTAGGAAGTAACACTGTAAAAGACTGTCCAGTTGGGGTGCTATGATCGGTTTCCTCTATTTACAGTGCTCGGGCCCGGAATGACAGTCACGTCTCACAGCGGCTGCAGTTGGAGGTACAGCAGCATGCTGCAGTCAATAGAATAGTTGAGGCACAGTACGCTTTGTACGGAGGAGTATCACAACAGCAGCTGAATCCCACACAAACAGGAATCGTCAGCTAACTCTCAGTAACTCAAGGTAGGATTGGTTCTATTTTCATTTCTCAAATATATACACTGCTTCTGGACAGGGCTGTGAAGATATATCTTGTCATTGCTTATGTATATATATAGATATTTCAATTGTACTGTATTTTATAATGACATTGTGTCATTTCTTAGCCACAAATATTATTACAAAATGTATTATGTAATTTTATGACATCTTGTCATTTCTTGTGTGAAAATATTACAAAACTTATATTTCATAAAGACATTTAGATCTTTTCCATTTCTTAGGGTCCAATGTTACAATGTATTACAGAAGTATTATATTTCATGGAGATAATTCTTTCTATAACAAATGTACAAGAATATAATAAATGAGTTAATTATTTTAAAGAGGTATGTAATTTCTTTTACTGTTGTGAGAATATTGGAACATGTTATTAACTCATTCATCCCTGAAATTTTATAATGAACTATTCAAACCTTTGAATTGGAGGAGTTCAAATGTGTCTTCAGGGGTGAATGAGTTAAGGTATCTGCAGGACCTTTATATTTTTAACCAAGAATATTAGAAAAGAATATAAGAAATGTGTTATTAACTTGTTTCTTTCAGAAGAATATTAAAAATATATTCCATGAAAAAATGTTGTACATACAAAATGTATTACATATGATTTTTTTTATATTACAAATATATTTTTATGGCAAAGATTTTCAATTGTGTCAATATCATAATGATATAATATTCAAAAATGTACAAACAAGAACACTTAGTGTCACTGCCTATGAAAAATGCTATTTTAAATCTAGTCATAATTACAACATTGATGTAGAAACAAAAATGGACTAGATTGGATTTAATTCCAGACATGTTCAAAATTGTGCAACCCAAGGTACTTTAATTATTTTTCAATTAGTCATGAAAACTTAGAAAACCCGCTGAATAAAAACATTTATTTAATCGTATATGTTAAATGAAGTTATTCTTACAGTCTGATTTAATAGTTTTCATGTAGATGTTTATTTCCATACTTAATGCGGGTGAGATATTAGATCGACGGGAATGTATGTGACATTTTGAGGATAGCAGAGGCATCGTTTCTGTGCGACAAACAGAGAAAATTACAGTAAATTTACTTGTGATGTTTTCTGTTGATAAAGATAAATCGCCACAAAAGTCTCTCTATATGGCTGCCAATAATCTCAACGTTTAAACGATACTGACATTAAATGTTTGCAACTGTTGTAAAAGATAGATGTGTTGTGTTTGGTCGTATAGAACAATGCACTGTTCTAGAGCTGTAAATTGTGGTCTTTGTCACAGCAGCCTCCGCTTCCATCAATTACAATACGCACATTAAAATTCTTTTTAACCATAGTATTTAAGATTGTGATTAACATTGGTTTATTAGATTAGCAGGCATGCGACATTTCTGCGCTGATGTGCTTCCTTTTGGCAATATGGGTTTCTGTCTTTCCACCGTGAAATTAACATAAATTGCATAGAAATTTGAGTTAAATATCATTCCATAATAACATTGAATCATTTTTCAAGATTTTAAATTGATATTAATTTAATCTGAAATATTTGAAGTAACAGAAGCTTATCAGAGAACTTGTCTGTATATTAAGACACCTGTCTTTTAAGAACTGATGTTGATACAATACATCTTGCTATAATGGACCTCTGCATTAACTATTACCTGTCTATAAAGAATATCTTTATATAATGAACATATCTGTCGATGACCATTACCTGTCTATAAGAAAATCTGTCAAAACAGGACACCTGTCTATAAAGAATGTCTTAAATGGTAACCCATTTGTAAAGATACCTGTTTATACAATTATCTGTCTTAAATCTGTACCCGTCTATACAGGACATCTGTTTGTAAAGGATACCTTTCTATAAAGGGCATATATCTGTATTTAACATAACCTGTCTATAATGATATCCTGTCTTTAAAGAATATTTCTTAAACAATAGCCTGTATATAAGAAAACCTGTCTATAAAGAATAAATCCATTTACCTATATCTACAAGAACATATGTAGTCTATAAGAATACTTGTAGTTAAAGAACATCTGTCTTGTACCATAACCTGTCTATAAAGATACAATTGTATAAGGGTTACCTATATAGCCATTACCTGTTTATAAAGAAAACCTGTTAATAAATAACACCTGTCCATAAAGGACTAATAGAATCGTTCACCCCCTTGGGGGTGAGACAGGTTAATCTCAACCCGAGGGGTAAGATTCTTAAGTTGTAAAACACGAGGCTTGCCGAGTGTTTGACAGCTTAAGAATCTTACCCCGAGGGTTGAGATCACCCTGTCTCACTCCCAAGGGGGTGAATGATTATTTTTCTCTTTCCCTGTTTACCCTTGTATTTTACATAGACGTTACATCAATGCAAGACAATGTTGATGTGATGCGGCTGAATTATCGACGTGACGTCATTGTATTGTTGCCGTGAGGTCATGGTATTGTTGCTATGACGTCATACAATTGTTGAGAATGTGAAAAGAACACGTGTAGCTTGTCTCAACCCTAGGGTGAGATAAGAAAATCTCACACCGGTAAAATGCTGGATATCCCTGTCCAGGGTAAGAGAAAGTTATGTCTATGCAAAGTAACTTAGTTAAATCACATCTGCCTATTTAAGGCACAAGTCTAAAATAGACACTTATAGATTTTGTTTTACATTATGTAGAGATTATATATATATATCTGTACAAGGCGAAGCAATTTACAAGGCAATCCATAAGTCCCTTATGGTAAAGATTTCTATATTTATCGAACTGTAAAATTCTCTAAGGATATTCGACCCTGTACAGAATGTAAGCCGATACCTCTAGAAGTACACTATGGACGTCTTTGTTTTGCTGCCCTCAGCTGATCATGATGTTCAACATGTTCAAAGATTTGGGTGATGTACTAGGCCACAGTCACCTATATGCCCTGGACAAACTTTTGAAAATTTAATTGTGGTTGTAGCACAAAATATAGTTCACATGACATACCTTTGGTATGTACATGTACATGTACATTTTGTATCTGACACCCCCAGACGTGTACTTGCATGCAACATTTGACAATTCCAGGTGAAATAGAATAGGAGAAACTGTTTCAATGATAGTGATCTATTTTTTGTATGCAACACTTTACATTAAAAGATGAACTATCATACCAATTTGTTAATTCCAGAAGGTTTAGGACACATATTCCCTGGCAAGTATTTGGGACAGAAGAATATGAAATCAGACAAACGGAATGCAACATGTTTGTCCCTGCAGGATAGAGTTTGTGACATGAAGGTAGTCCCCAGGACAGGTGATCTCTGTAGACAGGTGATCTCTGTAGACAGGTGATCTCTGTAGACAGGTGATCTCTGTGGACAGGTAGTCTTTCAGGACAGGTGGTCTCTGTAGACAGGTGATCTCTGTAGACATGTGATCTATGTAGACAGGTGATCTCTGTAGACAGGTGGTCTTTGTAGACAGGTGGTTTCTGTAGACAGGTGGTCTATGTAGACAGGTGGTCTATGTAGACAGGTGGTCTATGTATACATGTGGTATCTGTAGACAGGTGGTCTATGTAGACATGTGGTCTCTGTAGACAGGTGATATCCGTAGACAGATGGTCTCTGTAGACAGGTGGTCTATGTAGACAGGTGGTCTATGTAGATAGGTGAGATATGTAGACAGATTGTCTCTGTAGACAGGTTGTCTCTATAGACAGGTTGTCTCTGTAGACAGGTTTGGTTTCAAGACAGTTGATCTTGCATACCAGGTGGTCTGTTACAACATGAGGTTTCTCATGACAAGTGGTCTTTACATACAGGTGGTGTTTCAATACGAGGTGATGTTTCAATACAGGTGACCTTAATATAACATCGTCTCTCAATACAGGTGATCTGTATATTCATGTGGTCTCTTAAGACAGGTGGTCTTTATATAAAGATGGTTTCTCAAAGCAAATGGTCTCTCAAGACAGCTGGTCTTTATATAAAGATGGTCTCTCAAGACAGCTGGTCTTTATATAAAGATGGTTTCTCAAAGCAGATGGTCTTAATATAACAAATGGTCTCTCAAGACAGTTGTTCTTTATATAAAGATGGTCTCTCAATACAGATGATCTATATAGGGAGATTGTTTCTCAAGACAGGTAGTCTTTATAGACAGGTGTATTTTTATGACAGAGGGTCTTTATATACAGGTGTTCCCTTAAGACAGGTGGTCTTTACATAGAGGTGGTCTGTCAATCCAGGTGATCTCTCAAAACAGGTGGTCTTGCATTACAAGTAGTCATATAGGGAAGGGGGTCTATCATGTTAGGTGGTATCTAACATACATATGTTACAGGGGGAGCCAATTTAAGCAGAAATCTGTTTTACAAATAGACGAAAAGTTTGTAAATAAGGAAGATTAGATTCACTTGTTATCTACACAGATAAAACTATGCCAAAATCATCCTTGGATGTGTATAAAATGTTCTCCAGGTTTGTAAATAGACTGTGTGAGACTGCACTGGGTTAAAACATCATATCTAGAATAAAACAATGTTTTCTACCCTATAATCATTGTTTTCAAATATTGATTTTATTTTGTTAGGTCAAAAAATTGTATGCTTTCCAATCCATACAATAGGTTTGTAAAAAAAATATTGAGAAGTTTTACAGAAACTATAGAATTATAATACATATATTGAATTTTAGACGGAAAAGATAAAGCTTAATATTACATACATATATACATGTGCATCTCAGTGATCGGTCTGTAGGGCTTTACTTGTGATTTAAATGGCTGGTGCCTTCCGGGCCAGCCTCTCTGACACGAAAATTGAACCTAATACATAAAATTGAAATAAGATGAAGACAAATGAAGTTATTAACTTTATTTTTGTATTTTGGTCAATTAGTTCCATTTTGAGTTTATCCAATAAGGCAGACACTGAATCTTAATGGTTTAAGCCCCCTATAATTCTTTTTATTTCGAATCGACTTCATGGAGTAAATGTCCTTAAGTT